TCCTTTCGCAATAGTCACATTTTTGCCAAGTTCAAGTTGCTATTGGTTAAAAAAGACTTAAATATTAATATAATGATAATTATTTAAATAGCTCACATATATATATATTTCATATATATATTAGACTAGTTCTCAAGGTGTAGTCCACAGACCACTTGAGGATCTCCAAAGTCAAACTATTTTTTATAATAATACTGTTTTTCATTTTTCACAATGTTAACATTTGCAGTGATGGTGCAAAAGCAATGATGAGTAACACTGCCGTGCCTTAGTACAAATCAACGCAGTGGCACCAAACTATACTAAAATATTATATTCTTTGTCATGCACTTACAGTTCAAAAAAAAAACTTTTAAGTCAGTTTCAATTAAGAAGATCATTAATGTAGGACGCCTGAGTGGCTCAGTCAGTTAAGCATCCGACTATTGGTTTTGGCTCGTCATGATCTCCTGTTTCGTGGGATCAAGCCCCACGTTGGGCTCTGTGCTGACAGCTCAGAGCCTGCTTGGGATTCTCTCTCTCAGCCCTTCCTCAGCTTATGCACGTTCTCTCTCTCAAAATGAATAAACATTCAAAAAAAAAAAAAAGAATATCATTGATGAAGCAGTAAAAAGTACTAATTTTATTAAATCTTGGACACTGAGTACATGTATTTTTTACATTCTGTGTGACAAAATGGGAACTGTGCATAAAGCACTTATGTATACCAAAATATGATGGTTCTTAGAAGAAAAGTGCCTGTGTAACTGAGTTATGAGTTGAATTACCTGTTTTCTTCATAAAACACCATTTTTACTTGAAAGAACAATGGCAAACTATAATTATTTAGACTTGGGTATTTGGCATTTTCTCAAAAATGAACAAAATGAATTTGCCACTTCAAGGAAAACAAACTGACAGTATTTGCTGCCAATGATATAATTTGAGCTTTCAAGCAAAAATTAACTTTTTGGAAAATTTGTATCTGCCACTATTAGTTTAACAGCTTTCCAAATCTTAAAGACTTTTCTGATGAGATCAATAGTGATTTTAAGGAATGTGATTCTGGGGTGCCTGGATGGCTCACTCGGTTAAGCATCCAACTGTTGATCTCAGCTCAAGTCACAATCTAACGGTTTGTGGAATTGAGCCCTGCATCAGCCTCTGCACTGACAGCACAGAACCTGCTTGGGATTCTCTCTCCCCCCTCTCTCTGCTCCTCCACCACTAGCACGTGCGTGCTCTCTCTCTCTCTCTCTCTCTCTCAAATCAATAAACTTTAAAAAAAAAGGAATATGATTTTTTTCTAGTGTATGATTGAAAGGTGTTAACATTTGGAAGATATGCATAACTCAGTGAACCAATAGTTTCCAAATGACGAATGCATAATATTACATGAGGAAGGAATCCAATGGACAGACCGATGGATTTGAATGGAACAGAGTACAACAGCTTCATTGATGTGCTTTCATATTCCACAATCAACTAACCTTTCAGAAACTACCAGTTGTCAAGTTTTAATGGACTATCACAGAATATCCCTAATTATCTGAAAAAGTTTTTAAAGTGTTTATCTCTTTTCCTAGTACATATCTGTGAGGCTTTTTCTTCATATGCTTCAATCAAAACAACATATCAAAACAGACTGAATACAGAAGCAGATGAGATCCAAATGTCTTCTATCAAGCTAGACTACAAAGAAGCTTGCAAAGATGCTACTCTTTTCACTACATTTATTTTTTAAGGTTATTTTTCAGAAGATATTAATTTGAGACAAAATATAATAGGTTTGCTACTGTTACTTTTACATGAATCAATCAATAAATATTAAGAGTATAAAGGAGTCCTCTGACTTAAAAGTTTGAGAACCACTATAACCTCATAACTACTCTGGGAAGTAGACAGAACTGGTTTAATCTGCTTTTTATAGACAAATAAATAGATTTGGCAGAGTTAGGCAACTTGCTTTGGTTTCCAGAGCACTGTTCACAATCCTGACTACAGGCAAGAAACACATGGAAGGCTTTAAAAATATCCACTAATTGTTCTGGGATGGGGCACAGGCATTTTTTTTTTCTAATATTTCTTTATTTTTTTTGAAAGAGACAGAGAGACAGCACAAGCTGGGGAGGGACAGAGGGATGGGAGACACAGAATCGGAAGCAGGCTCCAGGCTCCGAGCTGTGAGCACAGAGCCCAACACGGGGCTCGAACTCACAAATCATGAGATCATGACATGAGCTGAAGTCAGACACCCAACCAACTGAACCACCCAGATGCCCTGACATTTTTTTTTAAGGTCCCAATGATTCTCATGTGCAGCCTAAGTTAAGAGCCACTGTCCTAGAGATTAACAGGCAAATATATAATTAGGTTACAAGCCTCACAAACACCAATCTGATGAACAAGTCTACAAACTACATTTTCTTTTATATTTAAACCACATCAGTGTAGTTCCTGAATCCACAGAAAGATCAAACAAGGTTTTTTGAAAAATTCTACCAGACTTCATTTTACTTACAGAATTCTTGCTTTGCCACTCAACAGGACAGTTGTAATCATGCATGATCCAGGGATGGCTCAATAGATTTTTCACAGAAATCCGTTTCTTTGGGTCCACCTAGTGGCCATTGAGAAGTAGCTAGAGGTTAACATTTCAAATAGGGAACACAGAACTCCTTTACTCCTGAGAACTCAAAATTCATCAGAACAGATGTAAACTTTATCATCACAAAAATGCTGTCAAAGACCTTAAAATGGCCTTGGAATAAATTCTTTAAAAAAGGCAATAGAGGCAAGAAAACTATAGCAACCAACACGGGCTTAGAAGATAAATGTTTAACAAACATGAACTTCATTGGTATGGACATTATTCATGAAGTTCAGTCAATCTATTGTATGATGTAATAGTCTTTGCTGGAAAACCTATTCACAGGAAATATTCACCAATTTAATATTCAAGCAGCCACAATGCAGGGCATTCATAGTGAATATGCAATCTCTACCTCTGATGAGCTTACAATCACATAGAACAAGTTGAAAAGCACACCTTTCTTTTCCATTTGTAATTTTCAAATGTGAGGAGAGGAAAATTAATCAACAAAGATTAAGTTTTTTGGAGTCCAGAAGAAAGATGAGGTGTTTTCAATCTCATTATGGAGATTTGGTGGTCTGGCCCTACTTAATCAAGGTGGGTGAGCCTGAAGTAAATTTTGAATAAAAACTGGAGATGGCTTAATAGATGGAAAAACTGGAAGATATTCTGAATACATAATAATGAAAAAAATATTGCACTAATAAGGTACTCCTATTTTCAAAGTGTTTCCTATTTATCTCATTTTACCCTCATAACACTACATAGCAGTAAGGCCAGTGTCAGAATCCCCATTTGACAGATGAGAACCAGGTTAGTGGCATGCCTACTGATTGCCAGGGTGGATACCTAGACCTCAGAAGCCATTCCCCTAAATCAGTGGTTCTCAAAGTGTGGTCCCAAGACCAGCAGCATCAGCAGCATCTGGTAGCTTGTTAGAAAGGCAAATTCCTAGTCCTGCCCCAGATCTACTGAATCAGCCACTCTCTCAGGGTGGCACCTAGCAGTCTGTGTTTTAACAAGCCCCTGGCAATTCTGATACGTGCTAAAGCTTGAGAATCATCGCATTAGTTCATAGGGTCCCCTTGACTGTGTATCAGCTCATTCAAGCATTTATTCCCTATCTACTATACACTTAATGTGCAAGAGCGGGAGCAAGAAAATGGAACACGGTGGTCGAGTTAGTCAGAGAAAACAGACAATGCTCAAGAAAAAGGAAGGAAAACCACATCAGCAAAGACATGGTAGAGGTCTAAAAGAAAATGCATTTGCAACATAATTAAGAAAACATCTAACTTAAAAAAAAATAATAAAAATACATTTTCAAAAAGGGGCACCTGGCTGGCTCAGTTGGAAGAGCATACAACTCTTGACCTCGGGGTCATGAGAGTTCGGGCCCCACACTGGGTATAGAGATTACTTAAATAAATAAAACTTTAGAATAAATAAAAAGAAAAGAAAGCATCTAGTAGAGGGCAGTAGATATACTGAATGGAATTTTTTTAAGCCAATAGGAAAACGGTGTTGTCTTCCAAATACAGCAGCACCACAGACATCTTAAAGTTGGATCAAACAACTGCAGTAGACTTCTATTATTTAAATATAAATAACAAAGTTTACCTGTAGCATCTGTTGAAGAAGCATAACGCTACTAGAAGAGAGCCACTTAGGAACCTCATATTTTCCTCGCTACAAAAAAACAAAGAAACAGTTAAGAGATTTAGGTTCAATCAGCCTTGAAATAAATTTCTAAGTAACAAAATGCTGGAGGTGTACTTCCAAGCTTAAAGACTTAACCCAACTATAAGATTTGGTAAACATTATTAACAACATAGGAAATATATTTCTTACCCTAAAGAAGAAAATTCAGTAAATTAAATATCGTCCGCTCTAAATTATCCACATATCAGAGAAGGACTAGAGCAGAGAGAATGTATGGAATACATAAATGTGGAGGGCTTTGGAATCTGTAGTGTGATTAAATGGACAACAAGTATACATTGTAGTCAATTTTTGCATTGCTAGAGCAAATTTTAGTTCATAATCTCAGAACAATTATCAGTTGACAAAAAATGAAGTAGTAGAAAATAGTATTTGGTGGCAAGTCATAGGCTGTGGTTAAAAACAGGTCACATTTCATCCACAGGACAGAATTCACAATCAATGAGGGAAACTGACGCAAGCCTTTTTCTAAGCCAAGTACCTTCTTTGGGGATCGAAGAGACTCAGGAGACAAATGTTTACAATCTAGGATAATCAGAAATTATAGGCACCAAGTCATCAGCCAAAGATAAGACAAGGGGCTTGCCAAACACTAATATGTACTAAAATATCTTTTTACACAACTTGCCACATACCCCTCTTTCCCAATTCAGAGGCAATGATACAATCATTTCTCTTAGCAAAGAACAATTGTTTAATGATGCTAGAATAAAAGGTTAAGTATTTGAAAAAAATTAAGATTTGGAGGCGCCGCCATTTTTGCTGCCCAGACACGGAGCGAGAGGCTGAGAGAGTCGGAGACACTATCGGCTTCCATCCGTCGCGCAGACCCTTCCGGAGCCACTTCCGCTACGGATAATCTAATCGGGAGGATCTGGTGTACCAGGCGAAGCTGGCAGAGCAGGCTGAGCGATACGACGAAATGGTGGAATCGATGAAGAAAGTAGCAGGGATGGATGTGGAGTTGACAGTTGAAGAAAGAAACCTCCTATCTGTTGCATATAAAAATGTGATTGGAGCCGGAAGAGCTTCCTGGAGAATAATCAGCAGCATTGAACAGAAAGAAGAAAACAAGGGTGGAGAAGACAAACTAAAAATGATTCGGGAATATCGGCAAATGGTTGAGACTGAGCTAAAGTTAATCTGTTGTGACATTCTGGATGTACTGGACAAACACCTCATTCCAGCAGCTAACACTGGCG